AATAAAATGTTTTTAATTGTGTACCAGTTTACTGTTGAATATTATTTATGATTTTAATTTTATACACAAGTGCCAAAATACTATAAGAACGTTACAACGTCATCCTCATGTAGAGTCGTCAACTTTTTGAAGGCCACATATAGGCCTAAATAAAATGTTTTTAATTGTGTACCAGTTTACTGTTGAATATTATTTATGATTTTAATTTTATACACAAGTGCCAAAATACTATAAGAACACTATAGTCAATATACTTTGTTACTTGCATACTGTGGCCTTGTGGGAAAAACTAGATTAAACAGACAAGGTATATTAGAATGAATAGTGAAAGAACTGTAATACGTAGTTGTTTATACCACTAATTCTAACTGTGCGCCAACTAATTATTTTCAGAATTAAATGTTTACAGCTAGTTTTGTAGAGGTAATCTACGACCCGTAAGGACGTCATCCATATTGACGTAGCTCAGCTTGACAACGTACTTAGAATGCGATGTCATGCAGTTCAAGGTTATTGTTGCATCCATTTAGTCAACTGAGCATGCTCCAAGTGTAAATCTCGTTATCTCTATGTGTTACCAACTCAACTAGCTCGAATAATCCAGCGAAGAACGACCGAGTAATTCATGTTGCATCTGATCTGCTGACGTTGCCCTAAACTGTGAGAACGTAGAAAAATGACAATATGCATTCTTTATTTTTGTAAGTGGTGGATTCAGTAAATATTTATCTCTGTAGGAGGTACTATAAGTAGATAATTTGTAAGAAGAAGTTATTGTTCATTACTAAACAATGGTTAACTAAACTATAAATTACAGTTTACGAAGTTACAATTTTGTTAGACCAAATATTTTGCATTTAATTTTTATTCTCGTACTCAACTACTCTGAAAGACTAGTAGTACTGGTACTATAGTAATTAGTATTAACTCAATAATAATGAAGTAGGGTAAGCCTAAGCACTAACTTTTAACTTAATATTATTACTAGTAATACTAAGTAGTATTACTCACTAGTATTACTATTAGTATAGTAAAATATTACCTGGTTTGCTACATAATTTTAAAGGATTTGATTCAAATATTCAAAATTATCAGAAGGTTAGAGAACCTATGGATTACCTGGATACAGGATAGTGAGATGTAACTTGTAAGGGTAGGAAATACAAAGTTAAGTAGGAATCCTGTAATAATATTACTAGTACTAGTAGGTTTATCTTTAGTTTAAGCTTTGGAAACATAGAATAGGTGCAGCCTTGTTCTTCACCAATTTTCTTTATTTTGGGTTAAAAGTTGCAAACTTGTACACCGTTTTGCATAATGATGTGGCATACAGTGATACTGATATTTTAAGACATTGGCAAACTAGGTACATGTTCAGGGCCCATAGCTGAAAGGTGGAGACATGGTCGGGTGTCTGTAAACGTTGTCACAGATTATGTCTATAGTATCAAAATACCTGAAGAAATAATGCGTGAACTTCTACTCGCCTGTACTATGAAGTCACCTTTTCAACATATC